AAAAAAAAATATAAAAAAAAAAGTTGTCGCACCAAATGTTTGTTCGTCATAATAAAATACATTCACATATGATACCACTGAATTTTATGGATTTTATTTTTCAATCTATCAGATAACTATTCCAATAATACATTGTTTCGAAACGTTAACGTCAGTGAACTATTTTGAAATCTCTAAAACTTTCTGGGATGAGGTCCTTCAAAGTTTACACGAATGGCATTCATGTTGGCTTTGCCTTTTAAAATAATTAATTAAAATGAGCATTGTGGTTATAGTTGTTGTACAATATAAGCAAATTTTACAAAACAATTGTTTACAAATAATGGGCACATGCATTTAATAACATCATAATCCAATCATCGCCTTTGATATTCGCCGACACAGTGTTCACATGAATCACGACGAACTGACGCCATAATGAGAAAAGCACCCTAAAATGACTCCAAATGTTTGAAAGACATATACAATTTTAAATATCCCGTTACTGAAATAACATTATAATTTTAAACAGTATTCATCACAAGTCATTTCTTTAAAAAAAAATGCCTATGTATAAATAATTACTAAATTGCCTTTGATCAAATGGTAAACGATCATACTTAAATGATGAAAGGTATATTAGTGGTCATTTTAATCATGTAAATAAGTTCTTCTGGTGCTTTCACTTTAAAATATATGACATCAGGTATATCACTTGTACATCAAAATCGATGATACTGGTGTGCATACTGATAACGTTTAATAATTGCATCAGGATATATTATAATGGTTGTCGTGTTAATATATTTACAGTTAATGCATTTTATAAACTTTTTAGAATGTCAACATTTTGCAAATGAATGACATATTCTTATGCAAATTTACAATAATTTTAATGTTTTAAAATTAATTTGACTTTAAAATTCACTACACACCTTGAACCTAAATATCAATATTTTAGAAATATACAAATTATCATCAAATCCGGCAACGTACTAGGAATTACAAATATTCAAATTAGTGCCTGTCTCCATTGTTATTATGTTAATGTAATTGTATGGTATGCTATGGAAAGCGTAAACACGTCGTTATAACTTGTAACTTTTCTATTGTCTACGTTTTACAATAAATATGGCTGCACTCAACAGATCCGTTGTTAACAAATATTGAAGGTTACAATTAGTAAAAAAACAACAACATATTTTTAATTCAAAGTTTAACCTTAAAATGCTCTTAGTTTGCTAGCTATCGATCCCCGAGTTTGGCCGTAACTTTATAGCTGGGATCAATTTTTGCACGGTTAACAAACAATGATAAGGGATACTAGTTGATGAATAAATTATCCGTCGTAGCTAAACGTTGTAAATGTTTAATATTATAAAAGGAGTTTATGAACACCTTCTCCCTTACTCCTTTCATTTATAGAAGTTTTATATTCACCTCGTGGTCTTTCCGAGTCCTTTTAAAAAAGCGTAATCTAAAATAATTGTTACGTAAGGGTTAGGGTTAGGGTTAGGGTTAGGGTTATGACTTGATGAAATATGATCGACGTTATATTATGATTAGGATGTTGATTTCTAGTAAATGAGAAATTATACCCGGATGTTATCACTGTAAATGTTAATTGTAGCAGGTATGTTACTCGTTAGCCACATTTGATGATAATTATGGGTATAATGATACGTTTAATATCATATTTAAATAATAAAAAAAATAACATCATTTACTACATTAAAAATGATTACGGATTTGTTTTGTAACTCATATAAGTGTTACAAATTCTTTCCCGGCATATCTCCTAAAAACGTACACAGAGAGTCCTTCCATTGCATACATACTGGATAAGATAGATATCTGAAAATTTACTTCAATCCAAATATACCAACTTGAAAAATAGGTTGAAAATACTATTTTTTGATATGTCATTTTCACACATCATCATTTTCTGTGTTACGTCCGGAAGGCATGTGACGGCCAACACAGAATCGTTTATGTCTTTACATGACTCCTGCCAGTACGCCAGGTATCATTCTTTTGAAAATCAATTGAACGGTAGTTTATGCAGATGTGACCGTTTATGTAGATACTACGACGATTGTTGCTTTAATGCAGACGGAATAACCTACATATCCCGTTCCTTGGTGAGACTAATTGTGTAGATATCGTCTTTAAACAAACAATGCCTAGTCGACATTCAGTATATTTGGTGTGATCGTGCCCTGCAGATTGGAAAGGAGAAAATGATGTAAAGTTTAAATGTGAACATGTTTCAGACACCAACTTTCTCGGTCTGTTACCAGTGTTTGACCTCCGTTCAAATGTAACTTTCAAAAACAGACAATGTGCATTATGTCACGATGTTCATAATTGGATCCCGTGGTTATTAAAACGATCATGTTCCTTAAGATTTTACAAATTCAACACTCAGTCTACAATTCTTTAAATGATGCAACCATGTTACGAATAAACAACAGTTTATATTGTATATTGTAGTCACTGTTTTGAGCCGCCAAAAAATATCAAAGTACGGTATTGTTACAATTAAATCGAGTACACATTTGGAACGACTTGAAAGAGGTCAACAATATAATTTGTGAAAACCGCGTTCTGAAAACTCTTTTCTTTCAGTTCAAGAATGATCCTTATCCAGTGAAAGTATACAGAAACTATCAATGTCTTTTTGATGGTTACAGTCTCATTTATTTGAGGGAAGGTGAAATGACAAGTATGTTGGTTATCAATTCAATGCAACACGACGATGACAGGACAACAAGTAGTTTGATTGACGTTGCAGATTTGTTCCACACCTACGGAAGTGCAATACATGTGCAATGCTGAGAAACAGAAATTCGACTCTCTGATAAGGTAAGAACTGGTTTTCATGAAAGAAAAACAAGTTCATAATTCTAAACATGAGCACTAGTTTGCTATCTTTGTTGATTAGTGTAGAGTAATATGACCTTCCTTATAAACAATTCATTAAGGATTTTAAACGATTTTTCCGTATTTTCTCGTTTACGGAAAGTGCCGACGGTTCCCGACTATAAAGATTCCCAATTCTGACTCTCTGTAACTCCTCCTCTACATCTTATCTCTTAATATATTGGGACTTCTTATATCAATCATAACGATCACTTTTTCCTTCATTCCAAATATTTAAAATTTAAAATGCATGTATGCGGTTATCCCCACCTATATATTTAAGATTGGGAGAGCTTGATATTTAGCATACAAAACTGATACACTAGACTAGCGTTGTGACCTAAAACATGACCTTTTCAGAGCCAACCTTGTTGATATTGTAAGTAATGGAATTATATGTGAGAATGGATTTTAAGAATTCCAACATTATACAAATGAATTACGTATTTTGAGGCAAAATTTCAAGACTTTGAATTTGGTTTGGAATTTATTTGGTTTGAAAGTTCAAAACATATTGTAGACCTAAATATCAAAATTTTTAGAAATGAGCAAAAAAACATCATCAAATCTTGCAATAAACAATGAATTAAAATTGTATTTAATTAAATGCCTGTTTCCACTGTTATCTGGACTGAATGTTTGAATAAATATTTGAAATAACATAACTTCCTCATACTATGAAAATATTTGCTAAACAAGAATAATAAGAATGAAAAATCCTATATTTTACATTAAAATTTCACAAAACGTTCGATTTAACTCACATTCTGGATGATAAATATATTATTAAAGCACTACATGAAAGAAAATGTCCTTTCCCCAAGAAGTACGTATACGATGCAAAATACTTTTAGACTGATATTTCATTTTTCGACCCCCATGCTGTAATTGGGTTACTTAATAATTAAAAGAGTGATTCAAAGTAATAACTCCAGATGTATAAGTGAGTGAAAAAGAGTTAATACAGCAGCATTAATCTCGTAGCACCTCTGAAACAAAAGTTATGTGGGGGCAGGCTCCTGTGTAATTTTAATATAGCTGGAAATAGTCCATTTATAGTAAGACAACGGAATTAGATTAGATGTTATCCAAGTCCGTGGTAAGACCAACTAAAATACAATAAACATTTGCCTTAAATGCTCATGCACACATGTACATACATGTACACACCCACCCACCCACACACCCCCACCCACACACATCAAACTTCAAAGTTTGTCAGCATGGCTCACTTTGACCTATTTTAAGTTCAAACGAAACGATATGTCCATTTCTGCATTACATTGTAGCATAATACAAAGACAAAGGTGAACTTAACAAAAATACAATTTCATTCAGAAATAATGTCTATGGTAAGATTTTCATGTAACATGTTTCGTTTTTCGATCAGTCAGTCCCTGCATAGACATCGAGTAACTGAAATAAGGGGTGAAGTTGGGAAAATGCTAAATGTGGTCTTATGTAAATTATGGTGCTCGTCGATAAATTTGCGCTCCTATTTTCAAAATGTTTATTTACATAAAATGCCTTTATTTCCATCTGTATTTCTGAAGAAAACAATCAAGCTGATGGGTAAGGACTCACTGAAGCATAAAGACATATATACTACAAACACGTATACGTAGTCTAAGTCTCTGATACATTTTAAAGTGATATATATATATATACAGGTGTACTATGGCAACAGTAACAGCGAGCTCTATGAACATATTTAAGAGTAACCTGAACACTGACTGGAAAGAGAGAGACAAGGACAACAAATTCAATGTGTGAATTAAGAGACACGACTCTACAGTGAGACTTTTTTTTAAACACAACCATCTACCGCTAGCGCAGGGAAAACATTAAAGAATTGATGTAAAGATTTAAATTGGGCCAATACGAGGTTTAAGCTCATTTCCCGGCCATCCGAATCAAGGTAAATCAAGGTAAATCAATCATATCCTTCGGCATTAAGCTACAATACAGGGGAGGCGACTACGATAAGATTCAATAACATTACTACGAGTTGTTTCCCCTACCTGCGTTAGAAAATCCTTTACCGTCTAATTATAGATACATGTTTAGTGACGCATACTATATAAATACACTGTCGGATTTGCCTATAAATAAACATGGCAGATGTGAGAGGGATAGGTTTGGTTGTGCAAGCTCAGGAGACGACAGGCCTTGACTGATCATGGCAACGTTTGATAGCCAGGTATGAACGTGACTATTATATAGTGTGTATATACTCATCATATTCGTGTGTCCAGCACCTGTGGCATGTACATTACGTATACGTACACTGTACATGTATTTCCTGGAATATTGTTTATTTGTTGGTTATCATCACTATTGTGAACATAGAGTCAGTGTAACGGGAACAGCACAGGAGTTTGTTGTTATATCGAAACACCTCCCAGACTATATGGTATAAGGGATATATATGTCGGCCAAACTACTGTTGACACACAGGGACCTGATAATTAGTTACAATATGTCGGTTTGGACAGAGACATATATACTGGCTTTACATAAATGTCTCTGGTTTGGACCTATATCCTGATGCTAATGTATTTGCATGTATATTCAAACAAAAAGGCAAACCAAGGATCAGATATATAAATATTATTGCCTATATTATGTATTTATATAAATATATCTACATGTATAACATTAATACTATATTTAACGTTATAGATATATATTCGTCAAGTTAAGTATATGTTTTCCCAGCCAGCTACAAGTATAACTACACACATCTAATGATCTTCTCATATATTGATGAAATTGAATGACAGTTGTCAGGTGTCATGATCATGACCATTGCCAGCAAGGGATGTTGGGGTTAAGATCAAATTTGCCTAAAAGACCCCCTCCCCCATTTTCAAAATGCTAAAATAAGTTGGCCCGAGAGTCCAGTGTGAGCATTAATATAATCTATCAAGATGGCAAAAGTCTGCAGTTGTTATGGCCAGTCTCAGGATACTTGGGACATTTTTAAACATTGACCTTTGACCAAGCCTGAAGGTAAACTTTTATGTCAGATATGGACTTAACCCTTTCACCCCTATGTAACTTTAGTAGACTCTACAATGCATTAATCTTGATGAGTCCACCATGGTCTACAGTGGTGAAAGGGTTAAAAGTGCTGCAGTTAGAGTCATGATGCAATCTCACAAGTGACAACATCTGCAGCTGTCCCTTGACATTTAGCAATTTCTGAAGTCATATAACATTTTTCCTAAAATTTGGAGAGTCAAATCATGTCAAATAGATATATATGTCATTTCAAAACAAAGATTAAAAACTCAATTTGGGGAGTCAAAAGCATTAATTACTCTAAAGTGGCCGGTCTGCTGAAAGCCCTGCCTCGGTGAAAACTGCAGTTACATAATTATATATGACATTTTTTGTAACATTTTTTTGACGTTTGATCAGCTTTACTAACTGGGGTAAGGTTATAGGAATTGTGTCACTGTGGAGTGTCAACTTAAAAAAATGAATAAAGCATTTCTAGGGCTAAATTTATAAGCTTTTAAAAACAAGATCATATGGTTTTAGAATTATATTTATTTTAGCATTTTCCAAATTCAGTGATGCAATCTTTATTGTAATATTACTTATAATTGTGTTTTCACCAATGGGAAGTACACAATGTATGTATGCAAGTTGTTTGAATAATATTTCATCAGGGATTCTAATACATGATTTGTTTGTAGCACGGACTTATAGATATCTAATTCCGTGGTTTGTACTGCATCAATTTGAAATTGAATTATAATTGGTAGGAGTTATTTCCCTTTATCTTACAATGAATGCATTTACCAGTACAAAATTAAACATTCTGATCAAATCATAAAAGAATAACATAAAAAGCTCTGTATTTGAGAAGTCTTTTTTTTCTCGTAGAAATTGCTTTCTTTAGAGAGATGATCTAAAATCAGAATCTATTAGAGATAAAAGTCTTATAGATTCTATTGTTAATTTCATAATCTTGAAATTTGACTAAAAGAAATACAACTGAGGATAGATAATGTTTTATGTTGATGTTTATTACAGACTGATACCCCGAGTGTCCCATATTTAGATCTCAACAAGCAACCTGCAGAAGATGTTTCTGTCACATCACCAGTAGATGGCGCCACAGTTCCACCAGTAGATGGCGCCTCAGCTCCACCAGTCGATGGCGCCTCAGCTCCACCAGTAGATGGTGCCACAGTTCCACCAGTAGATGGCGCCTCAGCTCCACCAGTAGATGGCGCCTCAGCTCCACCAGTAGATGGCGCCACAGCTCCACCAGTAGATGGCGCCACTGCTGTACAAGCAGGTGGTGCCAAGGCAATAAATGTGAATAGTGATACTTTACAGAGAATTCTGGGAACGATCTTTGGACAATGTATTGGGGATGCCATTGGACTACTGACAGAGTTTCTAACAAAAAAGGAATGTGAAATGGTATAATACTTACAACAATATATTTTATTTACCCGTAAATTTAGGAAATTCGTGGTCTTCACTTTCAGACCTAGCTATGGATAACATATGTATGTCAGTTGATATATTCTCAACATAATAAGATATTCGTTGAGTGCATGGTTACAAAATATCTTCTAGCAGGGTCTTAGTATATTTGTAAATATGTAGCAGAATTGTACTGGGTCGATTACCGGCAACAAGGCAGCTCAATGTGTGTCCGTTTAGAATTTAGAGGGTCCTGGGTTTGAATCCCCATTCCCCATCAGGTCACGCATTATTTTTGTTCCTGTTAGATTTGGTGCTTGTGACCAACCCTTGTTTCAAGTAATGGGTGAATGCTTGGCAAGGGGATATCCAAACCTTGGTTGCAAGTAGTGTTGTCTTTGGGGAGGGGGGCGAAGACTTAGAAAAGGGAGGAAGGAATGTATCGGAACTAGACTGGGTTGATTGTCGGCGACCAGATAGATCATGATCTGTTGTTAGAGCGTCTATCTATATAGTTCAAAGGGTCCCGGAGTCCCAGTAATGATTCATTAAAAATCCAACATTCAAAAACATTCTCAGGAACATTTTTCAATTTCTTTTGTTATTTGTCAACATTGTAATTGGTGTTGTTATTCGAAAACTTAAACGGCGGACCTGTTCTTTAGTCAGCTTAGACGTAATTGACTTGATTCCAACAGATTTAATCAAACAGATCTTGCAAAAATGTTTCTGTCATTGTCCACATCTATTGTTACAATTTCAATTTTCAATAAGAAATCTAATTCATAAATTATGAAAGAATTACCATGGGGTGGGGGTGGGGGTTGGGGGTGG